GCCGCCGTCTCAGGGGCGTCGAACGCCCGTCTCTGCCGTCAGGGGCGTCGGGCGCCCTCTCTGCCGTCAGAGACGCCGCCGTCTCAGGGGCGTCGAACGCCCGTCTCTGGAACCAGAGGTGCCGCCGTCTCAGGGGCGTCGGGCGCCCGTCTCTGCCGTCAGAGGTGCCGCCGTCTCAGGGGCGTCGGGCGCCCGTCTCCACCGTCAGAGGCGCCGCCGTCTCAGGGGCGTCGGGGGCCCGTCTCTGGAACCAGAGGTGCCGCCGTCTCTGGGGCGTCGCGCGCCCGTCTCTGCCGTCAGAGGTGCCGCCGTCTCAGGGGCGTCGCGCGCCCGTCTCCACCGTCAGAGGTGCCGCCGTCTCAGGGCGTCGCGCGCCCGTCTCCACCGTCAGAGGTGCCGCCGTCTCAGGGGCGTCGCGCGCCCGTCTCCACCGTCAGAGGTGCCGCCGTCTCAGGGGCGTCGCGCGCCCGTCTCCACCGTCAGAGGTGCCGCCGTCTCAGGGGCGTCGCGCGCCCGTCTCCACCGTCAGAGGTGCCGCCGTCTCAGGGCGTCGCGCGCCTGTCTCTGCCGTCAGAGGCGTCTGGGCCGGTCGCCAAGTCACGCGCGCGGTCAGGAACAGTCTCAGACGGCAACGATGGAGCGAGAGGTGGCGTCCACGTCCACGGCGTCACGCCATTGTCGTCGATTGGTGTAATTGTTGTGAACTGCAGATAAATTCGTTGTTGGACGCATGGTAATACTCACGGTGACTCCCACACGAAAGGCTTAATAGTTGACGTGTAAGGGTGGGGCGAGTTGCGATCTAACGTGTTCCACTGTATAATCCACATATTTGCTTTCACAATTTTGACTACTTTTAGCCAGCGACAATAATATGCTCCACATATTTTCTTGTTCAACTTTGACAGGCATGGCACGGCACAACTTTGACAAGCATGGCCGCATGCTTTGTTCAATGCGCTGATTTATGACATCGGCCATCGCCCGTTTGTGTGCGCTATGATACTGACAACATGTGCCCCCCGTCCAGGCGCTGGCTGGTATTGTTAGCCTTATGACAGCCTGCCCGCCGGCGGTGCACCTCAGCGAACCGGCGCCGTGACGTCACTCAGCGCTCGCTCCGGATTGCCGACGTATTGGCGAGGCTGCGAGGAGCGAGTGACGTCAGTTTGTCGTCACGCTGCCGCTCGTCCGTTCGGGGCCGACGAGCGGGTGCGCCCAAGCGGACAGCGCTCGCTGTCGGTGGCGACTCCTCAGCAGCGCCGCCTACCAGTGACGTGACGCGTGCGGCTCGGCTCGATCGGGACCTCGGCGCTGGAACCTCGGCCGTGGAGCCGCCGCCGGTCGACTCGGCGCGGCCCGAAGCCCGCTGACGGTCGGGAGCGCGCGCCACCACACGATTGTGATACCTACCCCTGCCCTGTCGGTGCTGCCGGCGGCGGCCGCACCGCTCTGGCTGGACGCTGAGGCAGCGGGCACCACCGCCGGTCCGTCGCCGGAGCGAGCGGCGATTCTGAGAAGACAGTAGCGGCTGGACGCTCGGCCGCGACACGAGGTCACAAGGTGCGAGGACCACACGCGGCCGCCGTTGTGCGCGTTCTGCGTCACCATCCGCGTTGTGGGAACGACATCGAACTCGACAGGGAACCGCCGGGCTGGAGGCCCCGGCTCAGTGGCCTTAGCAATCAAACGGAGGACTAGCGCCTCGCCGGCGTCTCGCATCTCTCCCCGGCTAAGCATTTGGGCGGCTCTCCCGAGCAGCCGGTGTGTGAACTGGGAAAGCTTCAGTGTGATGAATGAGCCAGTTTTGTCCCCGCCTGGTATGCCCCGTCTGCACGTGAACCTGTTGTGGTAGTGGGTACCACTGATGTGTATGTGATGCCAGCGCTTTCTGATATGTCAGGACAGCCACGATTATGGCCTATAATCTGGGTACGCGTAGATTAGGCAGAACTACCGCACGGAGGGTAAATTATGGACCAAATGAACTTACCACCGGGCCTCTAGTCGATGGCTTTCGGTCTGCATTATTATCCTGCCTTGTGTGTGCGCGTGCGCGGATCGATTACCCGACGGTGATCAGTGTGTCGAGTGAACGTCTCGCACGTGTAGTCTGACTGAACGCCCTCCCTGCGGCTCGCGTCGTTGCCGTGTGTACGACTGTTGCGTTGTATGCCGTCGCTGAGCGCGGCGTCCGTGTGGCCGTGATTCCGCGAGGGATGCCGTTGTGAGTGAGCACGCGTGCGATGGCGCCGCGCGGGGCGGCGCGAAGCCGGGCCGGCCGCCGTCCCCGCCACCTGTTCATCCTGCACCCGTGCGTTCGTCGCCGACGCGCGGCCAACACGACGGCCGCGTCAGACCCGCCCGCGTTTGGTCCCGGCTCACGGCGCTGGCGTGCGACGGGGAGAGGTAGAACAGCTGGTTTTCAGGGCGGTGAATTTACTCAATTCGGTCACAAAGACACTGCTAAAATAAGCGTTACACGAACGACCAGCTGGCGGAACTACAGGCGGAAGAGGCCTCTCGAACCCCCTCGGGGTATGGCGTTCAGGTCAGCACCAGGTCAGCGATTGGCCAGCTCGAAGAACAGCATATACACTTCGTAGCCATTGCCGTGGCGCATACAGATAATCTGGACACTGAAGTCAGCATGCCCATACCACTATGAAAAGCGATGTTTACGGTGGGCCGTGCAGTGACCCGAGAACGCCATGCCAGAGTGGTTGCTTACGCTGCACAGGTTGTACTTGAAGTCCTTCACTGCAGCAGTGCGTGGCTACAGGTCCAGAGCACTAGAGAGCGGTCTGGAGGGTTATTACCCGTGCTGGGATGCGTTCCTAGGTGTTTCATAACGGCGTGGGCTTCACTGATATTCGTCACTCAAGGTAGCTCGCGGTCATCAGTCGTCGCATGTTCGCAGCGTTCGCGCAGTCAGGTCA